TAGGGAGGCAGGACCGATGAAGAGAAGGTAACTCGGGATGGTCGTTTCTGGGCTATTATTCGTCGTCAGTCAGCTCCATACAACTCCAAGTTTGGATAATCTGGGATTCCAACCTGCTTCCTTTTGTCATTGGACGTTAAGTAGCCCAGAGCTCCTGTTGGGTATATTAGGCTGACGACGGTTACTAAGCGCGAAATGACAATCTCAGGCTTCGAAGAAGGAGCTGCGACCACTGGAGCAAGGGTCTTATTGTCCTCACGTTTCGGATTCCGTCGGGAATCCCTAATCATAGGTAATGGTACATTAGTCTGAGTCATGCGCAGATAGGTGTGAAACATGCACAGATTGCACGGTATTCATAGCTCGTAGCGGTCATCCGCGTGCGTCGCCAATTATGCTATCCTGTCTAGCCGTTGTGCGACAGATGCCGGGGCTGACCAAGGCAAAACGGAACCATTATGTACCGTAAAGCGCTCTGCGAGCGTCCCCTCCACCGTTATTAGTATACCTAATCGCAACCGACAGGACACCAAGTCTGTGGAAGCATGGTTAACCAACAGGTCGCGGGTCCGAGTCTCGGGTGGCGAAAAACCCGGGGTTGTGTATGGTTAGCTGATGAGGGCTAATAAATCAGAAACGGCTATTTCATTCTCCCCTGCGTTTTTCGGTGATGTTATTCTATACTTCTCACATTAGTGGTTTGATTATTAACCGCAGGGCAGGTTAGGAGTTTGAATTTTCATTGAGTCTTTGACAATTCTGACTTTGTTAGTGGCCGAGGCCGCGTGATTCGTTTTTACAGTTGGCAGGAAAATTTGCCTTCTAGTCTGCCTTGACTACATGTACTTCTGTGGTCGCTGTAAGACTGCCTACGAAGACTTGAGACCGAGCCAAACAAAACGACGTGTCTCGCAACCGGGCCAGTAAACGCTCTTCCGCCGTAACAGTACTTTTAAATACAAGGAGTGTTCAGTAGTCGATGCTGGACGCCTATGTGAAGATTGACAGTGTTCGCAACCGTTGGTAACAATTAGTAGGCGTCAGTTTGTTTAACTGAAAGCAGACTGTGAACATCGGCATTTCGGAACGAAACAAACGGAAAAAGTTTTACGACTTTACACGCCTCGGGTTTCTACTTGATTCTGGTTTAGGTAGGAGGTGTATGGCAGGGAGGTTGAGTTAATAAGGGAAACCCTTGCGACTGCGATCTTCAAGCCCGGTTCCTTGTGGCAAGGAAAAGAAGTGGGTGGCCCGAGTTGTAGGAGTAGTTTATTTTGTACAGAGGGAAGTGGAGAAGAAGTAGACTGTCAGATGAGCACAGTTCTGCACCCGAGCGGAGCAAAATCCGAAGTGGTAAGAGCGTAGGCAGTCAACGCAGTGAGGTCCCTTG